TGGCCGCGAGATCTCTGGTGCCAAGTCTGATGGCCGAGAGTGGGCTTACGACTGGGACTCTCCTCCTGTCTTGCTCTATCCTGACGACCTCTCCAAGACCGAGTTCCATGAGCACCCCCTGGCGCGACACATCGAGCTCGAGAAGGGCTGGGAGCAGGGTCGACTTGCCTTGTACGGCCTCATCTTGCCAGCCAAGATCGACAACGGCACTCCCACCTACACTTGGGAGTCCGACGATGAGGAGGAGGAAGATCGTACCAAGGCCGTCATCCTGGCCAAGACACCACGCAGAGCATCTCGACCCCCTCCCCTTCGCACGCCCGCTCCGGCACCCGCCATGAATACCGAGCGCCAGCGCACCCCATCCAAGGTTCTTCAAAAGGTCAAGACCTTTGCCAACTTCGTCGCGAATGCGGACATGGAGAAGGAGGTCCCTGAGCTGCCAACCCTCAAAGAACTTCTCGACCAGTTCGGCATGCCTCCCGGGACCCCAGCCGAGTCGGCGCCCAGGACCTTTCTGCGTCCCACCAAGTCGAGCAACTCGCTCCGTCCCAAGACGCCGACGAAGCTTCCAAGCGCGACCAAGCTGCGCAACAAGAGAAGCGCCACGGGCATCACCAAGATCCAAATTTCCGACCCTGTTGCCCCGGAGGAGATGAAGCGCGTCGGTCAAGAGTTCAGCGAGGCTTCAACCCGCAGCCACCGCCCGAGAACCAAGACTGCATCTGAGAGTGATCGAATCTCGAATTACGCTGCATCCCTCCGCAGCCCCTCCAACTTGATCTCACCCTCCATCTCGTCCAACATGCCACTGTACCTTCTTCAGCCCGCGCACCCCACCGTCTTCAACGGCACCAACGAGCCTCCCCCCAAGTTCCGTCTCGCTCGTCCACGGCTGGCGCCCATGGAGTACGCCCGGCAGTATCTGCTCGCCAAGGCCAAGGCAGAGGAGCAGGGAGAAGAGTGCACAGTCCAGAAGCCGGACACGACGTGGTGTTGGTCGGAGCACTACAAAGAATTCCTCATTATTCCCTCCATTCCCAAGGGTGTCACCAGAAACTTCCTTCCAGATGTGGAGGAAACCGACCCTGAATGGATCAAGAAGAAGAAACCGGTTGCAGCCACCAAGGACATGGATGAGGAGGCTGCAAAGCGACGTTCGTTCCAACCACTTCCTTTGAACTTGGCCCCTTCCTCGCCCCTCCTGCCAGCTCACCTTCGCACAAGCTCACTTGCTTCCACTACCAGCTCGGACCCCAAGCGCGATTCGCCCCTTGATGCATTCACCCTCGACCTCCCCAGAGCTGCTTCTTCCGACCATTGCCTTTTGCAATCAACCAAGGCTCTCATCACTAACCCGACCGCTCCGATTCCTCGCGCGAATACTGATGTCTTTGTCGCTGTGCACACAACCAGCGAGCGTGAGTACAGAAGTTCTTTCACCAGCTCTTTCCCACCCCAGTTCCTTTCATCCACTTCCCTGGGTAGAGACAGACCCTCCAGACAATACCAGCATCCACCTCTGCTGGCATCTGAACGGGACTCAAGTGCTGCACCTCCCACCCATGCCTTCACAGCTACACTTGCTAATCATCAACCTGTTCATCCTCCTGTTCATGAACAACAACTCACCCCCAGATCGGCCACCTTGAACAATGTTCCCCCTGACTTCCCATTCGCTCGGCCGCCCTCGGTCGCCGCCTTGCGGAGAGCAGTTAGCCCGGCGGTCTTCACACCTTTCTCGACTCAAGATGTGCCTGCTACCTCTCCTGACCAGGACTCTTTCGACGAAGATGACGCGCGCAGCGAAGTCACCGCGGTGTACCGCCCAGGATCTGCACTCTCCTCTTGTACTGTCATTGGCCCCAGCTCACCTGTTCCTAGTACTGCTGACCGCAATAAGAATGATATCTCACCCAACAGTATCAATTACGATGAGTCCAACTTACCTCCTGCGCCGGTCTCCCCTTTGAGTAGTTCCCCAGCTACTCCGCAGACGAGAACATTTGCACCACTGCAAGACACTCGGACTCGTGATACATGGGATGACGCTCTGACCCGGCGGTCCAGTGACGAGACAGTCCAGCAAAGTATCGCCGACGAGGGAGTTGACTGTATCGACTTTGCAGACACTTCATCAGTTTACTCACAAGACAGTGTGCTCACAGCGATTCACCGCCCTGCTGCTGGTCGTCGCCCTACTCCCCTGGACTTCATGCCCCAGTCTGAGAGTGCTGTTGAGCAGGAAGAGGACTTGACCCCGCAACAGCTGCCCGAACCTTCATCTGCCGAGGCTCAAGCGCAGCCCGGAACCTTGGAGAACTCAACCACCATCCTTCGCCCAGTGTCTTATGTACCCAACACCGAAGTGGCCCAGACTTACACTGCCAGTGAGGCATCGCAGGAATACCAGAACGATCGTCGCTCCCGGGCTTCTACGCTTACCGTCGACAGCAGCTACACTCATCGCATGCCCAGCCAGGATGGCCGCGCCTCCAGAACCTACGAGTCTCGCATGGAAGCCGACCTCCGTCGCATGCGGGCCGAAGAGAGGCAGAAGATGGGTCGCGCCTCGTTTACCAACACAGATGACCGTCAGTACGAGGATATCCAGAGAGTCAAGCCTCGTGGTACGCGGGCCTCACATGCTGGCAACTCGCAAGACGCCGCATCGATTGCTTCAGTAGCATCTTCATCCACGTCTCAACGCGATCGCTACTCCACATTCTCTGATGCCGTATCTGCTTCAACCTCGGAGTCGCGCCGCTCTCAGGCACTCTCCTTCACCTCGGTCGCTTCCTCAGACCGTTCGATAGCCAGCAAGCCCCGCCGCTCCCGCATCGACACGCCTCAAGATGCAGCAGCTCCTTTCCGCGACCCTCGCCTGCCGGCCCTCGACCCGGTCATTGAGTCCCCTTCCCAGTCTCCTGGCCTCAGGATCTCTGCAACTTCCCCCGCCATCAACTCCACCGGTCGCCCGCGCAAGTCTTCTCTTCCCAGCAGGCGCGACTCTGCCCAGCAAGGCACCGACTCTGAGCTTCCATCTCTCAAGGTTCGCAGACGCAGGCCCGTGGCCGACTTGGATCCCCTTCCCGCCTCCCAGGCTTACCCGCAACCTCTGCGCTTCAGCTCCCTCAAGAGTCCCCCTCCCGGCGCCGTCCCAGGCCAACCCAGCACCAACATCACTCGCTCTTCTTCGCGACTCATCACCGACATTGGCAAAGAGCTCGACCGCGAGATGAAGGACATGCTCTCGCCGCGCACCGCTGATCTTGTCGCCCAAGAAGCCAAAGAAGAATCCCTGGAGGAGAGCAACGTTGAGACGCCCACCCGTCGCCCGCCTCGTCAAGTGCGCTCGATGAGATCGCTCCAGCGTTTCGACGCGCCCAGCATGCCGGCACCCAGCAAGCCGCTGCCGTCGATCCCGCAGCCCAAGACGCGCTCAGAGGCTCCTAGTCGCCCGCAGACTTCCGGCCCTGCCTTTGTCGACGTTGACTTTGGCCCCGGCCCTGTTGTTTCGCGGGCTCACCCTCCTCTTCCTCCCATCCCGCCTCCCCGCGTCGCTTCTGTTCCCCGTCCGCCTATTCCTACGGTTACTCCCCTCGTCTCCCCGACGATCCCTCCTTCCCCGTCCACCGGCTCCGTGTCCGTCACCCACAACGACTTCTCGGTCAGGAAGGACCGTACGATCCGACCTGCTGCCTCGGTCGCGGCTTTCGGTTACCGTTCTAGTGAGTACCCCGCGAATAACCTGCAAGCAAGGATGACGATTACTGACAGCGATACAGCCCCGACGGTGGACCCCATGCCAGCCCGTCAAGTTCGCCGCTTGGAGTCGACGGCCAACCTGCAGCCGCCTCCCGTGCCCCCAGCCCCGCCTGTCCCCACGTCGGCGCGCACCCGCATCCTGGGCAAGATGGCGTCCATGGCCGAGCTCAAGCACCGGCGGGAGGTGGCCAGCTCCGCAAGCGGCGGCAGCAGCGAGGAGGCCGTCGGCATGCGGACCTTCCTTGGGGAGGACGTTGTTCCGGCTGCTGCGCCCTCCAAGACGGAGAACAGCAAGAAGAAGTTCTTTGGTGGCTTGTTCCGCAGGAAGAAGGATGGAGAGAAGTGAAAGCGTAACCAGGAATCAGGAAAGGAACCGACCAACGGGAAAGAACTGTATCATGGCAGGGAGGTTTGGCGTTTTCGGTGTTGGACTAGGATGGACTTGTTGGTTTTTAGATAACGATGTCACGATAGGAAAACAACGTGTGGATATATGACATGCTGCGTCTTGAGGTTCTTGTGATGTTCCTGCGTGTTTGGTTCGAGAACGGAGGATTTACTGACCAGCACATGCTTATTTACTTACGCTCATGTGGCGATCCATACTAACCGCCGACAACAGGCAAGCTCTTGCCCATCAGAATTGGGATGAGGAAGGGCCAGATGGTCCTCTGCTAACTTACCTAAGCCAACATCGGTGGCTTTGTTCATCATTTCAAGAAAGCGCTGGTCTAACCTCGCTCATTCCCCTCGAGGAAGGTGAAGATGGAAAAAATGACATAATCGAGGTCGCTTATCTTAGTGCAACGCGGGTTGGAAGTCGCATCTGAGCTTCCTTCCACATTCCACGGCACTGGAAGGTGGCCCAAGCTTCCCACCTGCCTGGTCAGCCAGCCATCCAATCCCAGCCCTCCATTCCAGAAAGAGGCCCCGCCGGTGGACCCGCGTTCCCGTCGCGTTGTATCCACCTGGGAAACTGCACCAGGCAAATCACGGTAGTGCCTTCTCTCAGCGACCCGTCCATGGATGGCCTCCCTGAGAAAAAAAGTTTCCCCGCCGGTCACACATCGTGTGCATTTTCACATCACACTGCTCGACCTTGACGTCTACGTCGACACCAATTCGCCCCCCGAGGAGCTCCCCGAGCGAGCTGCCTTGCGATCGACCACCTCTAGCTCGGAAAATTTCTCTTTTGGCCGACGCCCTGGGCAGCTGTTCGCCCCACGCACGCAATGTTCAGCTCCATCTCCCGAATCCTCGGCCGCACTCCGCAAAAGAACTCGTCCCCCGGCCCGACGAGACCCTCTCCCGACGACCACGATCGACAGCCCTTCCCCTCTACCGCTCCTCCTGGCATCGACCTTCAGTTCTCAGAGATGTCTCAGGATTGGGGTCGCACAGATGACGCCGACAAGGACGACGAGTACGACGGCCCCGATGGCATCATCGATGAGTACCCCGGCGACGCCGCCACCGATGCTGCTACCGATGACTACGTCGACCCCTTTGCAGACATGGCCGCGTTCTCAACCCAGGTGAACGACGAAGACGATGCCGCCCCAGCCTACGAGTCCGAGCCAGCCGAACCCGAGCCCAAGGCAAAGAAGGCGAAGAAGGCAAAGAAGAGCAAGAAGACCGAAGACAAGGAAACGCGCAAGTCGAAGCGCAAGTCCAAGAAGACCGACCCCTCAAGCTCTGCCGATAAATCTCTGCCCAGTCCGACTACGAGCGGGCGGGAGGATGCAAGCGACGACGAAGCTCAGTCTAGCGAACGACTCGAGCTCAAGGTCGAGCCGGGCACCTCGTCCATCCCCGTCCCGGAGAAGAAGAAGCGCAAGCGCAAGTCTTCATCCAAGGCAGCGGACGCTGAACCCGCCGAGGCCGAGAGTGCCAAACCCAGAAAGAAGAGAAAGACCCGCAAGCCCTTGGAGGATATCGAGGACGACGAAATGGAGACGCAGCCTGAGGAAATGATCCCCGACTCACCCTCCACTTCTCACGAGGTGGTTACCAAATCGGAGCCCCATTCTGTCGATGTCGACCAAGACCTTACTCTTGACTACACCCTCCAGGACGAGCCTCAACAATCCCAGCTTGTGAGCGTTTCAAGACAGCTATTCCAGCCTGCGAAGGGAACTTCTACCGCAGCCGTGTCCATGAGCGACGACGATCGCGAAGTATCGCTGTCCTCGCCCAGTGTCATTGCCCAGAGGCGCAGAAGCATGTCTCGCGGCTCTCAGATTTCCACGTTTAGGCAGGGACTCTCTAGAGAGTCAACCGGTCTGCCCGACAGAATCTCAGAGGCTGCGGAGTCGGCAGACGAGAATGAAGCTGAAGATGAGCCATCCGAAGAACATGGAAGCGCAGCGGCTGTTTCGGACAACTCGGAAGATGAGTCGGCCTCTGACGCTGCCGGCGATGTCAGCATGGCAGATGCCTCCGCGGTTGCCTCTGGAGCTCTTGTCGACGGGGAGTCTCAAGACGATTTCGCTGACCAGCTGCCTCCCTCCTCTCAGCCGCCCAGGGAAGACACGCCGAGTGCCGATGAAGACGCCATGGACGTTGACGAGGAAGTCGCTGATGCCCAGGAGGAATCTGAAGAGCAATCGGAACCGGAGGTTGAGCAGCCTCATCTGCCAACGCCAAAGAGAGCAACTGCCCGCAAAGGTGCAACAACTACCACGACAGCCACTCCCGGAACCGCCCGCGGACGTAAGGCCAACCTTCTCATCAACATGTCAGACGCGAGCCACCAACCTAGCTCGGCACAAAAGTCAGCTCGATCCACTTCATCCAAGCGGCAACGCTCCAAGCCCACCTTCTTCGCCCAGGACGACGAAAACGAAGAAGAGGAAGCGGCTCAGGCGCCAACCTCGCCGGTGGCCTCTACGCAGAAACGAAGCAAGAAGGCCGCGTCCACCTCGGAGCCCAAGGCTTCGTCGGAGAAGAGGCCGAACTTGAAGGCGCGTTCCTTGAAAGCACAACCTTCAGCTGCTGCGACGCCCAAACCGAAGGCAATCCGGCGTCTGCAATCTAGGACTCCTTCATCCGCCCCGAATCTGGGCGGCTTGAGGGAGGGTCAGTTCAGCATGGAGGAGATCAACCGCCTCAACGCAAGGCTCAAGCTGTACCAAGAACGACAAGGGCTTTCTCGAGAGCAATTGCTCGGCGTGATTCACATGAAGCACTCCAAGTCTGCTGAAGATAAGGACAAGGGCCCTAAATACGATGGCGAACTTTTCAAAGAGTTTTGGGACTTCGTTAGCACCGCCTTTCCGGACAGAAAACGCCAAAGGGTCATCGACACCACTCGACAAGAGTACCGCACGAACATTCTGCGAGGCGGAGGCTGGACACCGCAAGAGGATGCCAAGATTCTCGAGCTGCACGAAAAATACAACGGATCATGGGCGAAGATTTCTAGTGAAATCGGTCGATTACCTACTGACATTCGTGCCCGCTACAAAAATTACCTTATTTGCGGTCATATTGGCAACGAGCGAAAAGCCTGGACAAAAGACGAGGAGCAGGAACTTGTTGAGGCTGTGCTCACCGTCGCCCGTCGGATGGAAAAGCCCTACCGCCGCGAAGTGACGAAACCCTTGGATTACGTCAATTGGCAAAGCGTCAGCGATGAAATGGGCCGAAAACGCACCCGTCTCCAGTGCAGCAGGAAGTGGAAGCAGATGAAGATTGAGCTGACCGAAGCCGATCTGCGCGGATCGATGGATGATGTGCCGTGGCCCCTGAAGAAGTGCCGACTGCAGATTCGAGAAATGGCACCGGAGGACAAGTACAGATTGGTCCAGTCGATCTCCAAACAAGCTCCGGGCCCCGACAGCGCGATCAAGTGGACGACACTAGTTGACGTCCAATTCAGGAGGAAGTGGCACAAGGATACTCTCAAGCTGCTGTGGTTCCGTCTGAAGCAGCAGGTCCCGCAGTGGAGGGAAAAGACAGTTAGAGACTGCGCCCGCTTCCTACTCGATGACGCTGCAGAGAACCATCCTGAGGGTTCCAAGTTCCTCACTGGCGGAGACGACAACTTGGATGCGGACAGAGAGCTTAAGGTCATCTCTGCCACCCGGAGGAAGGCCAACAAGGGCAAGGGCAAGCAGCCAGCGAGGGAACAGTCGGTCACCGGAAACGAGCTCAGCACTATGCTGATAACCGCGAGTGATGCCGAAGAGGATGAGGAGGACGATGAGGACGACGAGACTCGCGCCTCGAATGAGGCGACGATACTCACACAAGACGATACCCAGTTTTCAGAGTCGGCATCCACGTCGCCGCGACTTGGAATCGCCCCGTCGCTACTACCCCCAGGAACACAGCAGGCTAATTCGGCCGAGCCCAGCCCTGCGAAGAAGCGGGTCAGGCTCTCGCGGGGAAAGACGGCGCGGGGCGCCAGCGAGGTTAATGAGGAGGAGGACGACTCCCAAAACGGTACACCGACACAATCACAGTTTGGCGACCGCGCAATCCCTGACCGTCTCACGGAAAAGAAGATGGTGGCCAGGCAGCGCAAGACGTCAGGTAGAGCACAGTCGGTAGCCTCGATGCAGGTGGACTCTGTACAAAACAGCGATGTCGACGATGACATGCCCGAGATCCGGGTGCCCCCCTCGACGCAGCCGTCTAGATTCAAGGCCATCAACAGCAAGGCGGTGGCATCGTCATCGCAGGGCAACTTTGCCCGCAAGACTGGGTCAAATGTGCTTCCCGGAGAGCCAGTCGAGGTGACTGAAGAGGTCATGGCGGCGTTGGCTGAGGCGGAGAGCAGCGACTTCAGCGAGGAGGACGAGACTACGGAGGCTGCACCGGTATCTGCTCGGCGCAGAAAGTATAGGAAGCGTCCGCGCCGGGGCGAGGTGGCCGAGTCCCCAGCCTAGGAGGCTGCGTCTAAGGGCCGACCCCAACGGCGCGGTGCGCAGAAGCTAGTGAAGAGACGCAAGTCAAGCGGATAATAGCACGATGACGGTTGGACTTGTTTCCTAGGATTACACACCCGGGCTTGCTAAGCCGGTGAGAGTGGATGCGTGTATGTTCGGTGTTCGGGCAGAGAGCGCGGGTGACGCGGAGGACGGGAGTGCCGGTTTTCTGGGGCACGGCGGGGCGTGACACGTTTTTGTGGTCACCGGTCACCGATTTGCATTGTTTTCACCACATGTACCAATACCTCACAGACCGAGTCGCCAGGACTCGAGTGACATTTTCGTTAGTCGTCAGGTCCGTATCCGTAGTACGGTAAAACATCGTTATGTTGATAACTTGCCTGCGCGAGTTTGTTCCCTGCATTTGGGGGTGTCGAGTCGTGAGGTTTTACGTCACCGGCCATGACTCGTTCGTCGTCGATGACGGGGCCGTTGAGTGGCCAGTCGCGCGCCCGGGTTGAACCACAACGCGATAACGAACGATACGTTGAAAAAAAAATCTTCAGTGCCAGTGTCGTCATAGTTCTTCTCGGCGGCTTTTGAAGAATTTTGTTATCTCCGACCTGACGTGACAAACGCCCGCCCGCCGCCCCATCGCACGCTCCCGTTCCGCGCCATTCGCCGCCGTAGGGCTGTAACACCGACGGTCTTGGAAGTTGGGTGTATGGATTACCCGTTATCGTGAGGCGGGCTGTTTCCGGAGCTTCAGGCCTCGTCTGTGTTGTCAAAAAATCGGGGCTTTGTGCGGTAGAGATGACGGCAGATGAGGAATGCATGCTGTTATGGAGCTGGAGGGCGGAATTGCACTGTACGGCGTCTGTTAGGCGCGAAGCCGCGATAGGTGTTACAAATCGCAACCCGACGGTTTGGGTTTTGGGAAATCTGAGCGTAGTCAACCGCCATGCTGCGTCGGCCTGCGCCGCATCTGGTGAGACGTGAGATCACGGGATGGGTGTAAGTCGTTTCCTCGTTCTTCGGCTCAGACCCGGGATGCCGGGCGATACGCGCGAACAAAGACGACGACAATGTCGGATCATCACCCTCGGCGCCGAAGATTCTCGTGACGGGAGGGACCCCGGGGCTGGCCGGTGGAAGGCGTGGCCGTGGCGTCATTCGATTCCGCGGCGGAATTTGAGGAGTCTGGGGTCCTTTTCTAGGACGATGCGGGTGATGCTTCTTGTCTGGTATTTTGTGATATGCAGAGACACGGCGGTTGTGATTGTGGGTGGTGCCATGCAAGGAACATGTCGGTATCTGTTATCTGACAATCTGGCAGCCAGAGACAGATGGCCGGACCAGTTCGCCAGCCAGCCAGCCAGCCAGCCAGCCAGCGAGAAAAAAACCAAGAAACACACAAGACTGAACACTGGAACTGAGCAAAGCAACGGAAAACATCCGATCAGACCACGGTGGAGCGCGGCGGGAATAACAGCGGGGCGGGGGGCCACCTGGCGGCGTGGCCGCATTTCGGGCTCTTTCTTCCCAGCGTCCACTCTCACCGGCGCGGCCAGCAGACCTGAGCAGCACTGAGCACGCAGGACCTTACGGGTTCCACTTTCAGGGCGCACGTTTGAGAAGTCGAGCCGAAGAGGGGCGAGAATTTGCGCGATGGGATTCTGCGAGTTTGCCATGCTGGCTGTTGCTGTGTTGGTGACTCTCTGCTGGTCAGTGACATTGAGTCCATCATCTCGGTCGAGCTCAGGACGAGGCGGTGGAAGAAACGGCTTCGGGAAAGTGCACCGCGAGATTTTTTTCATTGTTTGAGCTTATCTCTTGTGAATGAGATGGTCTGAATGTTCCCAGATAAGGATGATGATGACGATGTTGATGTTGCTGCAGGGAGACATGAACATGAGCATGAGCATGAGCCTCACCTCGGCCTCATCTCGCACACATCGTGGATTCAACCCCCCCTCTATTCCCACTTCTCATCCAATACTATTACCACCAAAACCAAAAACTCACCAAAAAAATTCTACAGTCTCGCGTGCACACCACGACTGCGCGCACCGTCGCTCAAACACTGGAGTAGGTAGGGAGCTGCCCTCTCGCGCAGTCTTCGGCCCTTTTTCACGCGGCGGCCGTCTTGCTCCTCTCCGTACTCCTCTGGCGTGCCCACACCTCATCAAGCTCAGGCCGTATCGTCGCGTCCAGCGCATTCTCTCTCGCTGCATCTCCCAGCACGAGGGCGCGCTTCACCAGTTTTTGACGGGTCTGGCTGGCCGAGTCTCGGTCTTTTTCTGGACTCGAGGTCTGGGAAGTAGGGAGTGCCTATTGCGTTGAGCCTCAAGGGGGAGGGAAGGGTAGCAGGGTGTGCCGGTGAGGCTGCCGCGGGCCCGTTTTGGGAGTGGGGGGTTCTTTTCGGTGTTATTCTTTGTATGGATTTAACTCTGTACTATGTAATGCGAGGAGCGGTTGAGTGAGCCTCATCTTCTTTGGTCCAAGGTCCAGTGCAGTCGACTGTGGTCTTACCACAGAATACGAATAACCGCCGCAGCTGCTGCTGTAGCTGTTCATCAGGCCAGGTGATGAAGGCTTCAGGGTAGAGTACAGAGTACGGCCACTGCGGCGGCGGAATCGCAGATCGGGAGCTAAAACATGAAGCCACAGCTCAGGGCGCGCCGTCTGCGGGCGGCATCTGATTGCCGGACGGACGACGGCCACTGGCCAGGGATCAAGCAAGCAGGGGGTGAGATAACGAGACAAGGGGGACCAAAAGCCAATGCAAAAGCCAATGCCAGCAGCCAAAAGTCATCTTCTACACTACCTTTTGAGCACAACCATATCCGATTTGCGGAGGTTTACGCCACAACGTGGAATATTCTTTTTATGCTTCGATAGACGCAGCATCGTAATGTTGTTTATGATATCTAGAAAAGCTTCCATCAGAGGTCGCACGAAGATTGTCAACAGACTCAATAAAAGTCAAGCCTCACGCCGCGCTGCTGCAGTCTGCAGAGCGCGGCGCCAAAAGAAGTGGGAAAGCAATGGAAAGATGCTCGGGACAGGGGAGGGGTTCAGGGACAGGGGGTACTCTATATTCGGACCTTGCGTGGGCTGGCCATGGATGCAGCAGCGAAATGTCACGATGTGATGGCGCTGTCTCTCTCAGGTCAGCCTGTATCGATTTTGATGGTTGGATTATTGATAACAATCTTGAGATGCCACTGAAGAGAAACTCAAAAATTGATTGACGCCGAAAGATTGAAAGAGCATCTGCAAATGTTATTTTCCAACGTGTGTTGTTCATGAAGCATCATTATCAGTACATTAGATACCTAGAGTAGACAGAGGTACATTCAGAGGAGCATGCCATCTGGCAGATGGCAGATGGCGCCCGTGCGGTGGATCTGCGAGGCGGAAGCGGCACGGTACTTGCAGAGTTGCGAGACCACCATGACCCTGTTTTCCTGTCGGTTCCTTTCCGCTCGTGTTATTTTTTTTTTCTCTCTCTTTGCACACCTGCTTCTGTCAAAGTGAAAATTCCTTCCAGAGTTTTCTGTTTGGTCTTGGCCGATCACCTCGTCTGATGTCGGCGGGCGATCTCATGCTCTTTCCCTCGCCTTGGTCCAAGAAACAACGGCTGGTCTGAACAGCCCAGAGACCAGGTACCTGACTCTTTCCCATCAATGATCTGTCTGTTTGCCCCCCTCCAAAAGCTGGTTTTTGTTTGGCGGTTGCGTCAATGTCAGGAACAACGGTCGTCGGTTGCCTGCCACGCTGATGCCATGCTTGCTGCCATGTCGCTGGCCACACACACACACACACACTACCTTACTCAGGCACAGGGTAGCTTAGCTGTGTGCACCTGTCCGGCCGTCTCCCGTCCCTCCATGTAACCCTGAAGAGAAAGAGCTTTGACAGTCGACAGAGAGATAGATGTGCCTGACGTCAATCGGAGGCTTCGGGATCTCCACCCAGCCGCGGGCCACGGCGGATCATCTCAAGCCAAGCAGGGCTCGTCCGCTAGGCCAGATTGCGAAGACGCGACCTCCGTCGCCAATTCGCCAAGCTGAAAGGGTCCGATTCGCCATGTCCATGCTGGAGCCAATTGTGGTTCCCAACCGAGTCTCTCTTCGGCGAATTCCAGCCCAGACCCTGGACGCTGCAGGGCATCCCGAGCAACAGCTACCGCAGTCCTGCCAGCCACGGTCCCCTCTCGGCGGGATCATGGGTCCTGCTGGGTGGTGGTGACTGGGTCTTGGCTATCAGAATTATTGCCCTCTCCCAGAGCCTCAACTCGAGGCACTCCCAGAGCGGCTGTCCCCTCTTAGTGGCCGAGCATTCGACCGAACAGAGACTGGTCAGATCCAACGACCGATGGGATGGACGGATGGAGGTACCTGGTGTCCGTACCGGTACTCTGTACCCTTTCTCCGTCTTCATCTCGTTGCCATCTCCGAAGGTACCTCTCCTCCCTTCACTGTGGGCATCGTGATCAAGACAGTGTCACGGTATTCCCACGGTCTGGCCAGAACCAGCTCATTGCCTCCCCATATCCCCTCCTCCCACAGTCCACAGACGTACGTTGCTGCATTGCCCAGGTTTGGCCCGCACGCTTGGTTTGCTCGCCCACGGGCCCCCGACTTTCACTTGTGCGTTTGGCAGTGGGGGCCTTCTTTGCTTGGTCAGAAAACGGAGAAGAGAAGGTGATCATGAGGCATGAAAAGCACCTTTCCACCGGCGCGGGTGTGGGAACATGCGCGGAGGCGAACGGGGGCCTACGGGGGAAGACGGGGTGAGTTTTTTTCGAGAAGCTGGTCACACGTCCAAAAGACGGACTTTGCTGCCCCAGTGAATCTCCAGTTTGGCCCTTCAACCCAGTCCTTGGTCTTGGTTTCTCCTTACACACTAGTTGCAACCTTGGGGTGAGGTGGTGAATGGGGAGACTGGTCCTTCCCGTCCGGGAGAGACCACGCATCGTGTAATGTACACTCCAGACTCCAGTGTGCCCCTTC